ATGCTTATTTTTCCTCATCAGATGATTATCAATTTTTATAAATTCATATGATGTGATTTTCTGGAATTTTCTTTGGGATTCTGTCTTTCACTGTTAGAATGTACGTATGATTAAAGTTATAGATCGTTGCATTCTTTGTAAGTGGGCAAACCTGCAAAATCAGCAAGGGGTCAAACACTTATTTCCCCCACTGTAAGCCTTTGCAAGAGGATTCAAGTAGATGGGAGCCGTAACCTTAAACACTTTGTAGGCTAGCATCAGGTACTTGAATTTGATACCAACAGCCAGAGGTAACCAGTGGAGTTCAGTGAAACAGAGGGGTGAAATTCCCTCCGGACTGAGCCGTTTCGTGTCTTATTTCAGGTCCCACGAGCTGCGGTCGAAGATCGTCTCCCTGCAGCTGCTGCTCTCCGTGCTTCAGGGCGCCGGGCCGGTGTTTCGCACCCACGAGATGTTCGTGAACGCCATCAAACAGTATCTGTGCGTGGCCCTGTCCAAGAACGGAGTCTCCTCCGTGCCCGAGGTCTTCGAGCTCTCGCTGGCCATCTTCCTCACCCTGCTGTCCCACTTTAAGGTCCACCTCAAGATGCAGATCGAGGTCTGAATCGTTCGTTTTTTTTTTTTGTAAGAATAAACGGGAGGTTTTTATTAGGGATGGGACGGTTTTCTGAAAACCGTCCGAACCGTTTTGGTTTTGGTTCGACAGTGACTGTCGCCATTGGAGCTGGTAAACGTCTCCTCATCAAAAAGTATTAGATTATCCACGCTGTTGTGGACTGGAGAATTAAAGCTGAACTGTTCGATTAAAATGCCCAAAGGTTAGCATCTTTCAGGATTATTTCAGGTTTTTAAAACTTGGTGATCCGTTACAACAAAACATTGATGTAAAACTGGTATGTGATCCATTTTTGGATTATGGGATATGATAGAAATGTTTGAGATCCTGCTCTGTTTTCAGAACTGTTCCACATTTATGGTGCTCATTCATTGATAACATAGAAATATCTCCCTTTTTGCTGTTGGCTGAAACACAAAACAGTCTGAAATCTGTTGTTTTGTTGCCCGTTATTGGAGAAAAGGCTTGGTTTGGCTGCTATGCTTTAGGTTCTCTGTGAGATTACATGCAGATTGGTGCTTATTAGGGATGGGACGGTTTCTGAAAACCGTCTGAACCGTTCGGTTTCGACTGTCTCGGTTCGGTTCGCGTGTGTTGCGTTCGGTTCCTGCTGCTCCTTTTTCTCAGAGGGAAGCGTTTACACTCCAGAGCAGAAGGGGGCGCTACTGCGCCCAAAGCCAACCACCAGTAGGAAACAAGAAGAAGATGAGAAGCAGCGTAGCCGATAATAAAAATCAGACGCCAACAGCAGTTTATAGTTCTGCTGTATGGACCACTTTGCATTTAGAGGGAAGCACATGTTGGAATTAGCACTGTTTCCTCTCTGGCAATGCCAGAATCTCACCTACTTTTAACCTCAGACTGTCACAATAATGGATCAAATGTCAGACTGCTTTTTTCTTTCAGTTTTAACCTGACTATACAAGACATAATAGATTTTCCTAATAATCAACATATAACGAACCGAACTGGAAACCGTGACCACGAAACCGTGAATCGAACCGAACCGTGGATTTTGTGAACCGTCCCACCCCTAATTTTTATTCAAACGGTTGTGATTATAATTTGCTCATCTTGCTTAATGAGTCGTGCGTTTTTTTTGTCACTTAAGGTGTTCTTTCGGGAGATCTTCTTGACAATCCTGGAGACTTCAACCAGCTCCTTTGAGCACAAGTGGATGGTCATCCAGACTCTCACGCGCATCTGTGCAGGTACAGACAAACAAACAGTCCTCAAAATCTTTTAAACTGTCCACCTGCTGCTGAAACAAAATACTTGCCCTAACTCTGAGATTCAGTTTCAGTATAACTCACTTAAGGGCTGGTCGACATGTTTTTTTTGTTCCTCTAGAAGTCAAATGTTGGTATTAGTAGGTTTTTATCAACTAAGTTTCCCTTTAAATGTTTCCAAAAATAACACAACTGGCACGTCAATGCCTTTATTTATTTATTTTTAGAAAAACATACCTGGTTTTGTCCTTTTGACATCCAGTTTAATACATACAATTTTTCTATTTTGTTAAAAGAAACCCTGTGAATGGTTCATATAAAGACACTGGTCTTTTACTGGTCATTTTTTGGGATTCTTGTCCAATAGATCAATCAAATGATCCATAAAATACAGAATATTTACGTCACTGTTGCTGAGGCTGTGATCATTATTGGGGCTTTACACATTCAGACCCATAAGAGATGTAAGTACTACAGAGGGGAGCAAAAACTGGTTACAGAGATGTGGACAGAAGTGAAGATAGATCCATTCAAAGCTGCAGAGAGTTGGGATTCCAGCCCATTTAATTCAGATCCACATCAACAAACCGACAGCTGTTTTAAAGGAGACATATTATACCCTATTTCAACAAGTTAAGCTAGTTCCCTTGTGTCCTAATGTAATGTCTGTGACAAACTTTGGTCAAAATCCCATAAGGATGAAGACCAATAGCAGTTCAGTCCCCCTGCCTAACCCTAACCCTAACCCTAACCCTAACCCTAACCCAAAACAGCCCCGTTCAGAGCGCTCGCTTTGGAGTGCCTGTCTCTTTAAATGCAAATGAGACACAGGCAATCCACCCACTTCTTCAGGGAGGTGTGCCCACGTCGGCACGCTAACGCTACCATGCTAACGCTACCACGCTAACGCTACCACGCTAACGCTACCACGCTAACGCTACCATGCTAACGCTACCATGCTAACGCTCACGCTACCAGGACGTCTCCACAGATAGGGGAGTAAGCTGAGGGGGGGGGCAACATGCAGGTGAAAGGCTGGAATATTATAATGAGCTAGAGCTAATGACGTCAGAAACTACCCACTCCTGAAACCTCCTGATTTATCTCCTGGATTCAGACTGAGGCGGCCCACAAAAACATGACCGAGTCATTTTTTTTTCACACTTTGCCTGCTGATAGGCCCTCCACAGTCCCAAATGTACACAATCAAACGATTAAAAACTTGGTTTTGCAGAATATGTCCCCTTTAATCAACTTAGCATCAGCCGTTCGGCTTCTTTAGGGTTTAAAATCGAGCCTCCCACCTCGTGCCAGGAGTTTCCCAGGTAGTTCCCGTCGGTGTGGGCCACGGTGATCAGGGTCTTGATGGTGTCGATGTTCTTCTGCTTCATCTCTGTGATGCTGGAGCTGGCCGTCAGCAGAGTGAATCTGGCCAAGGCCTGGACGTACGCGTCCCGCTCCAGCTGCAGACACACTCACGTTTATGTTTATGCATTCAGACGCTTTTATCCAAAGAGACTCACAAAGTAGACACAATTTGACTGATATCATCAATATCACAAGAAGTTATCTGGAAGAAAATGGCTAGTCAAAATTCAGCCATGGATTCAACTTTTTCTGTTTGTTTAAAATTGAGTTTTTTTGAAGGAGAGATATTATACCCTATTTCAACAAGTTAAGCTAGTTCCCTGGTGTCCTAATGTAATGTCTGTGACAAGCTTTGGTCAAAATCCCATAAGGATGAAGCCCAATAGCAGTTCAGTCCCCCTGCCTAACCCTAACCCTAACCCTAACCCAAAACAGCCCCGTTCAGAGCGCTCGCTTTGGAGTGCCTGTCTCTTTAAATGCAAATGAGACACAGGCAATCCACCCACTTCTTCAGGGAGGTGTGCCCACGTCGGCACGCTAATGCTACCATGCTAACGCTACCACGCTAACGTCACCACGCTAACACTACCATGCTAACACTACCATGCTAACACTACCATGCTAACGCTACCATGCTAACGCTCACGCTACCAGGACGTCTCCACAGATAGGGGAGTAAGCTGAGGGGGGGGGCAACATGCAGTTGAAAGGCTGGAATATTATAATGAGCTAGAGCTAATGACGTCAGAAACTACCCACTCCTGAAACCTCCTGATTTATCTCCTGGATTCAGACTGAGGCGGCCCACAAAAACATGACTGAGTCATTTTTTTTTCACACTTTGCCTGCTGATAGGCCCTCCACAGTCCCAAATGTACATAATCACATGATTAAAAACTTGGTTTTGCATAATACGTCCACTTTAAGGAAATGTGAAGAACATCTGTCCTCTCACATAAAGTTGACTCTACACAGAGATGGTAAACTCGTGGTTAATTAAAGAGGCCAACACCTCTGAACACAATCCGACTTCTCACCCTTGAGCTCAGAAACTGAACATCCTTCATCCAAATCACTGACGCTTAACGGGCATTTCAGTTAGCTTTTGCCTTTCCTTTGATTTGACCCCAAAGAAGACGCGTGCAAACCGTCCCTCTGACTTGTTTTGCTCAAAGTGTAATGATCGTTCTTTGGACCCAAAAACACCCTGAGGCAACGGTCAGTTCAAACAGGTTTATTCTCAGGAATATCCTATGGGCGTGGTCAGGCAGGCGAGGTCGGCACCGTGTGGTCAGTCCAGCAGCAATCAGGAGGGTAATCCAAAACGTGGTCCAGAACGAGCGGGGGTCAAGGTCGGGGAAGCAGTCCAAAGGATCAGGCGGGAGCGCGGAGTCAGGCAGGCTGGGTCGGGGACACGGGCAGGCAGGCAGAGCACTGAGGCCGACCAGGCAGAACTCAGGCGAGGCAGAAGAATCAGACGTGGGACAGGCAGGCTCGGGAAACAGGGTCAGTCAGGTCGTAACAGGCAGGCAGGCAGAATAATATTGCTGGAAGTACTCACACGGTTTGTTTAGAGACGTTCTGGCCCCGGTGAGTGGGTGAGAAGGGTTTAAGTACTGACCCGGACAGGTGCGACCAATGTCGCTGATTGC